GTCTTTTATGTTTCAGTATGGAAGTATATCTTTTTTGATGCAAGTGTTGCACTACTATCAACTACTTCCCTTAAAAAAAATAATGGCATTAAAAGTGCTTTGTTCAAACATTGTTCATGATATTCTTGGGCTTCATCCATCATTGTTCTGACTTGGATTATATTTGTTATTTCAACTCATGTTTTTCCTTTTCTGCAGCTGCAACTTAAATAGCTTGCCGCAGTTTCAGATTGCCTTTTTCAAGGCCATTGGAGTGGTATCTCTCTGCCCCTATAGACTAGAGTTCTATTTCTTCCCTTCACTGCTGATTGACCTTCACTTAATGTAGTTCAATACAGATTAGAATTTGCCTGGGGACTTTATTTTGCTATTACTCAGTTTCCTTTAGAAGAGAATATTGTTTTGCTGGAGAGATTAAATTCTTTAGCATTGATTTTTTTATCATAGTTAGCTGCTTGTTCTGGATAGCAAGACCCGTTCACCTTGCAGGTTATTTTTATAACATCTAGGATTCAAAGTTCCTCATTCCCTTTTTATTTACTTGTAGGTAAATTCACTTGTAGGTGAAATTCCCCCCAGTACAGAGGATCAGCATCTAAAATTTCTCATAAGCTTTCAAACTAGTTGGAAAGGATTAGCACTTAAGTTTTGGGCTAGCTGTTGGCAGAGGGGTAAATTCTATTAGTAAACTAATAAGCAGGTCAATTTGTTCTGTTTCCTAAAGAGGTATACCATATAGTTCTAGCATCCTAGGCATTAACAGTGGAAGGAGCAGTTGCTGGTCTGCTCGTGGCAGTCACCAAGCCCTCCAAGTTGGCACCTGAGTCTAGGACTGGTGTCTCTTCCCTAGTTGTGTCACTAGCTCTTGCATAGGCAGGATCCTTTGTAGGAAGTTACAAGTCAGGTACAAGATAAAACAGTTAATCTAAAATCAAACACCATTTTTTCCTTTTTAAGTAAAGGAATATTGAATGAAATAGATATAGTCTAATATAAGCCCTCAGCTTGTAGCTGTGCTTTATCCACTTGTAGTATGGATATACTGTGTTTGTTTTGCTGAGAAGTGTACCTTCAGGACTATGGGGAAAACTTTTCTGTTTGTGATTTGGCACCATAGGGCATGTTTACATGTGTGCAGGGGAGGGGGCTGCTTTAATTATCAAGCTGCACTAGTTAAAAGGTCCTGAGAGTCACTTTTGTCAGTATCCCCCATGCTGAAAAATGGTGGTGGGCCACTTTGAACTAAAGCTCATTGAACAGGCTTTAGTTCACAGCTCCCTGTCGCCAATTTCCAGCATAGGGATGCTGATACACGTGATACCAAGGTCTGCTGAAGCACATTTATTTCCATCCTTCAGCAGACTTCATTAGTTGAGTGTGCTCCAACATGCTGGATTTCCAGCACCTCGGGCCGGCTCCCTGTACATCTGTAGGTGCCCATTGTCAAGATGTTCTGAAGTTTGGCACAAAATGTGGGTTTTTGTCCTGTCCAAAATTTTAGCTGTTGAAACAGTCAGTGTCCAGAATGTTCACAGCTAGAAATACCGCTTTCCCCAAGAAAGACTGTTTATATGAGTCAAAATGTTTATTTTTTTGAAGTTTTAATTGTGAAGCTTTTAAAACATGTAGCCTTTGAATTCCAAACAAACATTTTTTTTGTTAAACATGCTGACATTTAGTAACATCTTTTAACAGAATGAGAGATTCATCAAATGAATCTTTCCATGAAATATTTTGATAGTGAGGGCAAAAGTGTCATATAATGTTCTCAACTAACTGAAGGAGAGCAGTTTGCCTTGTACTGCATAGAGTGGATCAGACTGACCTGTTGTTATTGGGCATCTATACTGGGGGATTAATTGAGTCTGCTGGAGCATGGTGATTGCCACAGTCCAACAGCTTCCTGCATCTTGTGTATCCACATCCCTGCACTTAAAAATGGCAGTAGGGGAGCTTGAACTAAACATCATTGAATGATCTTTAGTTCAAGCACCCTACCGCCATTTTTAAGGGGAGAGAATGGTGCCATGCTGATACAGGAGACACAGTGATGCTTTAATTAGAGCGGCTCTTGGAACTGATCTAATTAAAGCACGGCCACTCCTCCAGCCCCAGAGTATGTGTAAAAGTGTCCACTGTTGCTGTTTAGGTCAATATGATGCTGTCTTCACATGGACCCCCTTGCCACTTGGCCCCTCCAAGATTGCTGGATCAGGTCTTGGGCAAGGGATGAGCCAGGTCCACATGGTACAGGGACTTCCTTCCCCCCACCTCCCGTGTGGCCAAAATTCAGGCTGGACAGTCTCATGCTTCAGCTGATGGCTCCATCTGTCAAGAGGCTGGGATAGGGGAGAGGGACCCCTCTTGCTGCACTGACCAAAAAACTCATAAAGTGTCCTTCATATACATTTCTGTAAATAGTCTTGCCACTGCCCTTGCAAGGGTTTGGGGCCTAATGTTATGTGACATAGACTAAGTCCTTTTGGGAACATAGTCTCCAGGAATTGTGGGACCCCAGGAGACACTTTGGGTAAGGCAGTTTCCTGCCACACTAGGAAGTTTCTGCTTGTCTGTGTTTCTCCCAATGGTCTTCTAGGATGCCATACTTCCTAGACACTGTGTCACATAGTCAGTCATGACTCGGGGGGGGGGGGGGGGGGGGCAACATGCATTTTTTTTGTTCGTTTTGGAGCATATTGTATGTAACAATGTAAATTTCCCATTGTACATTTGCTAGTCAGGTGAACTGTTCCAATTCTGTGCTGCAGTCACTGTTCCTAGAGTGCTAGCATGTTAGGTTTATGATCCTGCTTCTCAGCTTTACAGATATAGACCAGCTCTCCCATCAATTAATGTGTGCCCTTTCTCTGCATCTCTCCTCCTTCAGGTACCAGTTGCCTTGGAAGACTGGATATTTATATAATAATATTGTTAACCTGATTTGTAATGTTTTAAAAGCTTTACATGCTTATTTCCTATTTACTCATTTACCTAACACAGCACATGCATCACATCACATCGCATCACATACTATCAGGTTTATAAACAGAAATAGAAATATAAAGAATTATCCTGTGGTTTGTTTTTTTTAATATCACAACTCCCCTAAATAGAGCTGTTGTTAAACTGTATTTTTTAGTGAATATCTAGGCAAATGTGTGATGTGCTTGATATTGTCAGGACATTAACCTAGATATACCATCAAGCCTACTTTTTTTTTTCTGTAGATAAACTATGATAGTGTTCTTTTGCCTCGGGTATCTACGGTGACATTTATGTGAAGGCTGCTCTTTTCCTGTTCCTTTGAAATGATCTATGATAACCTTGTAAGTAAAGAGCACTAACATGATATCTGTGACTTTAATATATTAGTCTGAATTAACTTATTAGCTCAGAAAAAGTCATACATTAGGCAGATTACTTATTACTATCCAATATGGAATGCAAGAATCAGCATTTGATGAATCTTTTTTGGAACAGAAAGATGTTTAAAAAAGAAACTTTGAAAAAAAAAATCAGATTGCACTAGCTAAAATGCACATGCATAGGATGATATAATGTTCCTGTTCATTTACAGCAATGCCTAATAAATTCTTGTGATGAATGAGTGGACAGTAAAATAAAATGGTATCATCATCCTTGAAGGTGTCCAATGACATAAAAATTATTCTAATCTTTTCCTCCATGGAGATCTATTCTATCTTGCCTGTCTGTTAATAGTAATGAAAGTCACTGTCTAACATTTTAAGTGATGAGAAAAAAAGTCAGGATGAGTCATAGAGCTGAGGCTGTTGATTTATCAGTTTTCTAAATCATCTTAAGAAACCTGTCAAGAATGTAGGCCCCTCTACTAAGTGTGTGTGTGTGAACAGAGAGCTTTCCTGATTGCTTTCCAATCCTACAGGGTGTTCCAGTCAGGGATATAGATATTCACAGTGGGTTTCAGGCTTCTCGGGAACCAATATGAATTCTACTTAACCTAGAATAAAGCTGAGGGAGTTAATTTATATGAACTGTACATTTTTCTGTGTCCGCAGGCAGGCTCTGAACTAAAGTCTCCCAATATTCTGGGGAGAAAATTAAAGATCTGTGCCATCAGGCTGATAACATTTTGGGGCCACTTTCCATGATCTTCATATCTAGATAGCCCAGCATAGTAGTTAAAAGACCTGAAGTTATATTTCATCCCTGTGGAGATGTGGAATTAATCCTAGGAAGCACAGTACGTTTATGTCTATGCTATGTTTGTAATTGCTCTATGTGTAATTTAAGTCTCCTTCTGCTTTAAAAAAAATACTATGTGGCACATAACCCTTTTGTGTTTCTTTTCTTTGTACTTTTTGTTGAATATTCAAGGCCATAGTAGCCATTTACTCACTGTTTGTTTTAAAAAAAATTGCTAGTCATCAACAGTAGTATTATTTACTATTGCCGGCTGTGGCTAACCTGGTACAGAATAGCTTCAGTGATATCTTTGACAGACATTGCAACGTTGTGGTGTCATGAAAAATAATCAAAGCCGGTGAGGTCAAAGAAACTACTCTCTTCTGAAATATTGTTAATTTTTCTTTTGTGACAATGCCAGTAGCAATTTTTATTTATACTTTTCCTGTTGTGCATTGTAGGTACATGAGTTTCAGTGGTGATGCTAGAAATGTAAAGTTATCAAATCTGCATGCACATTGCTGGCATAATTGCAGATGGTATGACATGCATAAGCTCTACTGACAGGCCACAAGGAGCATAACAGCAACATTTGTATAATAGGGTTATAGGAGGATGAGACAGAATAGTCGTAGCACTTCATGAATGCATGCTATTTTACAATGCTAGAATGTTAGGCTCCTAAAGTGACGTATGCAAGTCAACTAAGTGGCTTGAGAACACAGATCTGATTGACATGTGTGAATGATAATGTAGCTGGTCTAATAAAAGATATCATATCTACACAATGAAGCTTGCCTGAATGCTAATATAGCTCCCACATATGGATACACATACATTTCCATATACGTATGCATATATTTGGGATTGATGCTTTCAATGCATCAGCCAAACTAGAAAAGAACAAGTTAGGGTTGATTTTTGTTTTGATATCTCTTTCTTTCTTTCTTTCTTTCTTTCTGAGCGGCCGAGACCCGCAGACGCCGTCCCGGTGCAGCAGGACGGTGGCGAAGCAGCGGATCCAGATGGCGAACGAGAAGCGCAGCAAGAACATCACGCAACGTGGAAACATCGCCAAGACCTCGCGCAACGCGCCGGAGGAGAAGGCGTCGGTGGGGCCCTGGCTGCTGGCGCTCTTCATCTTCGTGGTGTGCGTCTCCGCCATCTTCCAGATCATCCAGAGCATCCGGATGGGCATGTGAGCTTGCTCCCAAACCATGTTTTTGCTCTCCTGTGAATTACAATGAACTGTCGTTTCCTGCGTTTGAGACCCTGGTGCGGAAGCGTAACTGCGTTCTCAGCCTGCTCCAGAATGACAATAAAATTCTATTATTGATCTACAATCGTGGACCTAGTTATTCAGTGAAGTACATCTGTGTTCAATGTAGATATGTTAAGCTCTATGCTGTGTAGATACGTAGGAGCTGATTACATCTGTTGTGTAAACACCAGTCTTATGATCTGTTAAGCTTCTGTATAAGTGGAAGTGGTTTTATTTAAAAGAATCTTAGCATCTCTGTTTTATAGTGGCTGTATTGCGAATGTAAAGCACCCTTATAATTAAGCCAGCTGGGCCATACACAGCATTATTTTTATTTTGCTTATCTAAGTGGATCATCATTGTGTCTGTGTAGCCTCTCTCTACTACTGCGTGTGACAATGCATTAGTGCTCAAAATGCTTATTAATGATGAAAACCTTATCCCGTGCCCCTTGCAAAACTGTTCTAATAAAAATACAAGTGCTTGTTAGTGTAAAATCTTTCTTTTTTTCTTTCTTTCTTTCAAGATAGCCGCCGACAGATGAAGCCCTTCTAAGCTCCTGCGGCTCAGGTGCTTTCAGATCATTGCCTCGCACTCCCTGCCCCCCTTTTCCTGTCCCCCCCCCCAAAAAAACCCTTTCCTCTCCCCACCCTGTCC